AGATTATTGCTTCAGATTCTCTCCTTTAATTTCCGGGACCCCTTGAAACCGTAGGACCAAATTGGTTTTCTCCATTTGCAAATGCAAAAGTTGTGACTCTTCCTGGTTTGCTTCATTTCCAGCTTTTGCACCTTCTTCTTAACTTTTTTAGTATTGGCGTCCATTTCCTTCACCTCCCCCATTTGCTCTGTTGCTCTTAAGGATTGAGTCAATTGCAGCTGTAGTGAAGCCAAACTCTGACCAATTACTGACAGTTGTTGCTTAATACTGGTCATCTTGTCCAGCAGAGGGTGCAAGGAATCTGCCAACATTCTTGAAAGCTCAGTGGTCTCTTCCGTTTGAGGACTACCCACTAGTTTCGCTTTCAAAAGTTTTTCTTTCTCCGGTTTCTTCCCCGCCATCTTTTTGGATTTGTTTACTTAACGAAAAGTTGCTAAAGTCTCTGATATTCACCCAAATGCTTATCTGCGTTCTGGTAAGTCTCTGAAAACAGTTTCAAATGCTTAATTTTTCAGCTCCCCCTCTTTATTCCGTGTTTTTGTTCATGTGCCCACTCGCTTCGCATCGCTCTTCAAGGGGGGCAAGCTTTCTTTTTAATTCTTCATACTCAGTTCAACCCAACTCACAATTTATTGTTGGCCATCCGGCCTCACTCAGCATCGTTTTTCCCCCCGCCCAATCTCCAATGCTTGTCCCGGTCAGCAGCACTTGTACCATACGGTCACTCAGTGGCAGGACCTTCGGGGCGGAGGAACGCCTCAATTCTCCGGCATCGCGCCATCGAAGAGGTCGCCCCTCAAAAGCCCCCTGGCTAGGAGCCTTTTGCCAAGGCTCCAGGGGGGGGGGGGCGCAACCCGTCGCACCCCCTCCTACACGCTGGTGTGCAGTTTGCATCCCCGGGACGTCTGGGAGATGCGTCTGCCTGCGTGTCGCCATAAACCGAAAGCCTTTCCTTGTAATGCTTCAACAAAGTTAGGAGCTATGCAATTAAGTAAGAAGGAACAGTATTTCCCTATGCATGCCTCTAAAAAGCTCCGAGAGCACTGGTAAGGCTACAGGAGATTCCATCACTAGGCCACATTCTTGAGGAACAGGCAGCTGTACCTGTTAGCCATCCTCATACGTTGCTCAACATAGAGGCATGTACTGAACAGGAAACTGTATCTCCTACTGTACGGTTAGGCAAAGGCTCTGAAGGCTTATAATTGGTATGGGGCTGTAGATGTTGCCATGGTTACCAGGACTGATGAAGGGAACAGTTCCTGTTGTTGATACTGGCCTTGAGGGAAACAATAATACATGCACTGATGGCAGTGAGACTGTATCAGATGCTCCTGAGGAAGACACTGTAAATCTCAACAAGTAGGGAAGGAGTGATAAATTCCTGGTCCTAGGAACGTGCCCTAAATATCTCTGCAGGATGATGTAATTCACCATTCAGGCAATCAGTATCTACAGAGCAGAAAAGGAGGTAGCATTGTATTCTGAAGCAATAGTTTGATCCTGGGAAGGTGGTCTTGAGACTGGGAGGAGTTACTCCAGTCTTTCATTCCAGAGGAGTAGCCACATTACAGCAAAAATTAAAAAGGAGTCTTATGGCATCTTAAACATCAACATAAAAGTGAGTAGTAAGAGCTACTTGAGACAGCAAAAAAGCTCTTAATGAAGTTACGGTTGTTGTAAAAAGATGGGCAAATAGTCCTGGAGAACCAGAATGTCCTGGGCACCATCCTCCATCCAAATGGAAACATCAGAGTTACTTCTGAAGGAAGCCTTTGCTCACTGTGTTAACTGGTCCATTGAAATCTGCACCCAAGGAACTGAGAATCTCCAAGTTGCAGAAACGTATGTCAGAGAATGCAAGTTAAGGGTCTAGAAGGACAATGTCCATTCAACAGCCAACCTGGACCAGAACGACAAGCAGTTGGTCATGAAAGTGATGTAGTGTTCTACAAAGTTGCCATTGTGATGAAACTCAACTCAAATCAGGTGACTACAAAACTGTCCACCTCTCCAGTATCCATCCCCTTAGACTAGAAGGCGATGGTCAGGGCTCTGAGCAGCTTTACCATGGTAATCTCTGAAAAAGCCTTTAGATCATAACCCTGTCTGTCATTCAAAAGGAGAATACTGTTTTGGTCTGCAGGAATAAACCTTGAATTCCAGAAACCATTGGGTGTGTCCTGTGTTAGTCAGTTGCGGAGGCATGCTTGGTCCTACCTTTCCAGGTGAGATGTGGGGTGAAGCCTATCCCCAAGGAGCTCATGTGCAATACTTTCTGTTGCTGGATATTTGTCCAGTTAACTTTGTAGGAGTTTTTTTGTAAGCCACTTTGAGTACTCAGTGGGGAGCAAGGCAGGACAAATATTTAAACAAATATCTGAAGGGACTGCATCTCCCCGTTTCAAACCATTTGGTAACTCCTTGCAGCATCTTGCTGCAAGTTTGCTGTAGTGGTTAAGTGCACAGACTCTGATCTGGGAGAATGGATTTATACCATGCCCTTCACTACCCGAAGGAGTCTCAGAGCAGCTTACAATCCCTTTCCCTTCCCCTCCCCACAACAGACACCCTGTGACATAGGTGGGGCCAAGAGAGCTCTCTCGAGAACTGCCCTGAAAGAACTTATGACTGGCCCAAGGTCACACCAACAGCTGCATGTGGAGCAGTGGGGAATCAAACCCAGTTCTCCCAGATTAGAGTCCACACTCTTAACCACTACACCAAACCCAGCAGGGTCTCTCATGTGGGCTAGGTTTTTAAAGCTCAGTTTGAAGTAGCTAGCTTATCTGTCAGGCAATTAATCTGGTGTTGCTTCCTTTGCAAATTTCTATATTGCAATTTTATACAATTTTAACTGTGTTGCTTCTCCTGTGGTCACATTTGTAAGCTATGGTAGCCTAAAGTGGAAAGGCGTGATACAAATGTTTTAAATAAGTAAACTGGAGACACTGGAGTGCTTATAAGCATGACAGGGACTGACACTAAACAAAACATACTCCCTGGGACTGTGACCACAAGCTTTTTCCCCACAAAGATGTTATGTGTTTAGAAAAATCACACCCAATGTGGGAGAGAAACAAAGAGGGGTGCTTGACTAATTAAAAGAGAGTGCGTGTATGACAAAGAGACTCTCTGTGAAGTAAACAAACAGAAAGAAAGGTAGCTAGAACTGCTTTTTAAAAACCTCAAGTATGCTGAGTTGCTGCTGTTGTGGTAATCAAAAGAAAACTGAGCAGGAAGATGTTCAGACCAGTTTAAAGTAAAAAACTGGGATTATAGTGAAGTGGATGTTTACTCTCCAGGTGTATAACACACTCTTGTCATTTCACTGTGTGGTTTAAGAAATTTCTCTAAATTATGATTTTTAAAAATAAAATAAGAAAATCTATTATTAAAAAAACAGAGTGAACAAATGAAGCACATGCTTTAATGGCTGCAATAAAAGAAACAGGAAGGAGAAACATCCCAGTAACTCAGTAGCTCAACATATTTTAAGTCCTTTATGCACCTTTTCTTTTCAGCTAAGCTCCTGCTGTACAAATTGCAAATGATGGGCAGCTGTTCTTTCATTTGTCAGCAGTCACACACAAGACTATAAAGCAAAAGCTTTTCATTCAGTAGTTGATATGCTGAAAATGTCCAAACAACTGTTTACAAACTGATTTTAAAAAAGCAATACTCTTTTCATTCATAGTTTCACTCTTAAATTTGAAGTGTCAGTGTGCTGTGTTGTAGAGTGTTGCATGCAAGGAAAACAGATACACCCAAAGGATTCTAAAACGTAACAGTTTCACACTACTCAGTAGTGAATGCCTCTAGTGAGGTCTGATGTCTGTTGTGGTGTTCCATTATTTCTGAAAAATCAAGGCAAGAGAAACAAAAATAGCACCTTCTATAGATTCTAAAAGGAAAAACAGAAGGATCTAAACATAGTCACCCAAGAAAAAAAGATAGTGCTATTGAAGGATAGGGGAGCAGATGGAGACAGAAATTCTCCCAATATGATTCTTCTTCTTTGCAGTATGATTGTGATGATACAATGAGAGAATTTCACATGCACCACTCTGAGCTCCTTGGGGGAAAAGGGGGGCAAGTGATACATCCAAGACACAAATCCTCTACTTCATTTCTGTCTCACAATATTCTCTCTGGTCACTTGATGGAACAAAGAAAGCAAACTTTTAAAAATAAGACATTATGAAAGAACAAATGGCCAAGGGGCATTGTGAAGATCAAGCTAGTTATTTCCCCCCCCCACTTGTACTATTTGCATTATAATCCTTGTCTAGGATGAAGAAAAGGGAGTAAGCTAGATAGTGGCAATGGCATCTCCTGCCTAACAAGTCTTTGGCCCTACAAAAATATTCAAAACACCAGCACAAGCCAGGATGACTCAAGCATAGACAGATTTTTTTAAAAAACAAGTGTACTGCTTTTCAAATTGATTGTGTTCTTTAGTGTAATGCAGCTGGACAGAAAACAAACATCTCTAGAAGCCTGCTGTACCTGTGTCTGCATAAAGGTTTTCAAAGTGTGCCTGAAAGATATACTTAAAGCTTCCCAAATGCCAAAGCACCCAACACGGATCGTTGCCTTGATCTGCGACCTCTGCATTGAATTTCAGCCATGAATAATGTGGGAAGAAATCCCACCCTCCTCTATACAAGAAATGCAGCTTGGCATTCCTGAGACCCAGTTCCACCTAGTATCTGAATCTATGCACCATTCCATCTTGTGGATAGTGATGAGTCATCAAGCTAACATATGAAACTCTCCACTACTAGAACTTCGCCTATCCCTGAAAGAAACATTTCTCAGCCAAAGAAGCTTTGCTACAGACAGAAACACTCAAAATATTGGGGAAGAGGCAGGGACAACCCTGTCTTCTATGTCCACCACACTCCAGCTCTGCTTCAGTCTTTTCCCTTTGCTAAAAGCCACCCTCCTTCTTCACAATAAGGTATCACAAAGCCCAGTACAAACCTTCAAACACTTACCCTGCTCATAGGCCTCCATCCCACTCTGGTCAAGGGTTTAAGAGCACCAAAAGGCAGAAGATAATAGAGAATAGTCAGAGGCCAAGAACGGAGTTTCAGAGCAGGCCTAGACATACAGGTCAGCTGGCCCAATCTCCGCCTCAGGGCCAGCTGGGGAAATTGCAACCTGTAGGATCACACACATACACACACACAAGATGGTCAGCCAACTCTAGTTCAAGCATCACCAGCTTGGTCAATCTGAATTATATCTAGCTGATTCTCATGCTCTCTCCCCAAATAAAAGGCTAGTGCATGCCAGAAACAAGGAAGCACTAAACATAGCACAAAATACTAGCCACATACTATGGGCCTATTGTTATTTTCAACAGGAGCAAGACCATCTTTACCATGAGCAGGTCTATCTAGTCCACAATGTGCTTTTGAGAACCACTTAAGAAAGCCTTCTCCCGCATTCAACAGAAAACTAAGCGAGAACTGGCTCATACCCACAGGAGGAGACCTCCTAAAGTACAGATCATGTGATGTCATGAACTTGTCTGCAGTAAAAGGGGATCTGGAAGTGAGGGTGATACAAGGCCTTATTCATATATAGAGGTGATAGCCTTTCAAGGGGCCCTGATATTTTTGGTAGGATGGAATTAAATCATCTACCACCACCCTCTGTTGTTTATTTGAGAATCTGTGAACCCTGAAGACAGCAATTCACTAACCAATACTACAAAAAAAGATAAGTCTTTTTGACCTTAAGAATAGATTACAGAAGTTGATAATGCCAGAAAACTACTTAGCTGGAGGTAACCAAGCTGTAGCAGGCACTGAATTGGGTCAGGAATGAGTCTTATCAGCTACCCTCCTAGAAACCAGCAGGTTTGACACACCTGTTTGCTTTCAACAGGCAACGAATTAGATGCTCTTATTTTTGTTTCACATACTTTATATCCTGCCTTTCTGCCCTCAGAAGAGCCACCAAGGCAGCTAACAAATTAAAATAAAATCATATTTTAAAACCATCAAAATCAGCGCCAAAATGCATGCCCCTTTGAAGCGGCAGTCCAATAATAAATCACAAAAGTCAAAGGATGACCTGTGAGTAGCAGACAATGAAACAGACACTGAAAGACCCTCACCTAAAAATCATCACATCTGCTGCTAAGCACTAGAAGACAGTTCCATTCCCTTGGGCCTCCATAGCAGGTTTTGGAGTAATATATACCCTGCTATGGGCCTGAGAACAGATTATCCTCATGCTCCTTAAAACAAAAGAAAATACCACTAGAAAAAAATCCAGTTCTATTCTACGGGACTATTTTTCTCTACATTTTCAGTTTGATGATCAACATTTTGGAGCCAGAACCAAGCAAGCCTCTACCTGTCCATGGCCAGAGTACTTCATTTAGTCCCTTTGATCCCACTTGGACATTCTGTTACTGGCCAGCACATGGCTGATGTGTGGCTCTGCTTATGGAAGGACCACCCAACTCAAAAAAGGAATAACTTGTTTTATAGAAGCCATCTCCCTACTTCCTTCCAAGAATAGAGCAACGGAACCTTAGGGAAGCTTCGCCAATATATTTTGATAAGGATACTGGTCTAGAATGAAAGCTAAGGCACATATTTTGTTTAATAAAGAGGCCCCTGAAGACTCAACTCACTTGTACAGCTGTATTTCAGAAGAGTTAAAATAGGAAGGATAAGTATCACTAGCTCTGCAGGATAAGGGTAGAGGGGGAAACCTGGTATTAAAGAGAAGCTCTGGCATACAGCTCACCTTCTTCTTACTGCTAAACCCCACTGGCAGAGGGCATTGCCAAAGGCTCAGAGGACATGGTACCACTCTTGCCTCCATCTCCCCCCTTTCACTGCAGACAATCACGGGCCAATCCCTACAAAGCTGCAGCCTGGCAGCTTGCTGTAAAGCATCCTTGCTTCCCACTGCATGGCCTTATTGCTTAAGAATACCTCCTGCTATGTTTTCTTCTTTCCCCACTACCCAAATAAGATTCAAGAGAGAAAAGGCTTCTTGGCTATAATACAACACCCCCCTCCTCATTTGCCAGACAAGCATATAAAGAGCTTTAAAGTAATTAGGCCAAACAAAGGCTTTGCAGACCATTTTACTTCCTGCCCATTTTACCCTTCCCTCCCTCTGCCACCTTCTTGCAAAGCAAAATATAGGCTAGACAGTACCTGAAACGGGCTCTCCTACTTGGGTTGCCCCCAGCAAAGCCAGCTGGGCCTGGATTTTCCAGCTGTGGGTGTTGGTCCCCGGCACAGCTGCCGCTGCCACCATTCCCTGAACGCACCCTCCGGGCATGAATTTTAACTTTGTGGAGGTTGCAGCAAGAGGGAGGAGGGTTAGATAAAGCTTTGCAGCATCTCACCATTTCCCTGAATGCAGCTCTGGTCCCTGCAGGGTGTTTGACTGACACATCGTCGGTTGTAAGTCACAGTCTCTCTCTTCTTGTCTGCCTCCCTTCCCTCACTCACTCCGGCAAAAGAGGAAAGATGCGTTGTCACAGCTCCCAGTTTCCCCCGCTGGCTTTTCCTCCGACTTGCCCCTGTCTCTTGCCCTCTTTATGATGGTCTCAGCTATTGCAAACAAACAGGCATTGTGTCACAGCTCAGCATCCTTCTGCAGAGACAAAAACCAACCGTTTCCCACACACAAGCCCTGCTTTGTGAGGCACCACTTCAGCCAGGGGCTGCCATCAAAGCTGGGGCCCTCCAATGAATCTCGAGCTGCTGGGTACTGATGTGCTATTGTCAGAAACTCAGCCCGTTAGCCTCACACATCTCTCCCAAGAGCTAGGCTGAATGCAAGCAACGCTGAAAGGAGGGGGGGAGGGAGGGAGGTAATTCCCAGCTTTGACTCTGCACTGCAGTAACTAGAGCTCCATCAGTCCTAGGCTGCTGTGCAATCCAGTCTGCATGCAGCACTCATATTGCCAGAGAGTCATTTCCTTCCCACACTGCTCAGCTAAGACATATACTACAAGGGGAAGGAACCCATTTCCCACCCTGGACAACAGGAAGAGCTATCACCTAGCCTGTGGGATCCAGTCACTCTTTGCTGAATAGCTAGGAACAAACAGAGGCTGCAAACACATTTCAGAACCAGATCATGCAGCAGTTTAAAAAACAGACCGAGAAAGCAGAAGATCAATATATTTTTAATATCTCCAAGAATCCCACTACTGAACCTATTTTGCAACACAAACATATGAATATTCACAGGTGTAGGAGGCTTTTCCTCTCCTTCTTGAACGGCTGCTGATTAAATCCTTTGACCAGGTAATCTTCGAGCTCCCCTGTTCATTGGACCAAGATAGTAACAGATAGAGGATACTGAAATTGAAGAGGACACAAGGCAGAAAAAAATAAACCTGCTCACGTTTGTCCTCATTATCAAGCTAACAGCAAAGCA